CTCCCCTGAGTTTGACATAATTCTAAAGGGAACTAACAATGTTACAACTCAGAAAGTTTACGCATACCAATCCTTGAACAAGCTTCTGAAACGTCGCCTTCGGTAGTGATTTGGTGAAGAGGTCAGCCAGATGGTCTTGTGAACGAATTTGCGTGACTTCAACCTTCTGATGCTCTTGTTGTTGATGTGAGAAGAAAGACTTCGATGCAATGTGCTTGGTGTTGTCTCCTTTGTTGTAACCCTTCTTGAGCATTCGATGCATGCTGCGTTGTCTTCATAGATCATCGTCGGGAAGTCAACGATGGGGAAAAGATCGCAGGAGCTTCAAATATCACCCACAGCCGCTACCATCCAGAAATATTCTTGAGTTGTTCAATGCATGCTGCGTTGTCTTCATAGTGAGGATAAGATGTAAAGAGATGGAGGTAGGGAAGCAACACAAGATGTACGTGGTTCACCTTAAATGGGGCTACATCCACAAGGGTGGAGGAGTCCTCATTAATAGTGAAGATTTTACACAAGACATAAGTTTAAGCAAAATCATCATTAGTGAGTTCTAATGACGAGTTTATGCACAATAATGACATTAGGAATTAATTGTTCGAGAACGGTCTCCTTGTATAGTTGAGGAGGGTCTTCGGCTCCCATCCACAATTGATGTGGGACTCTAGGAGTTTTATTTTTAGGTTGACGCTTGTCGTGTTGTGATTGGTCTCTTGATTGGAGAAAAACTCATGTGCTTCGGCAAGGGTGCCTCCACATGAATTCTTCAGTGGGTCCTTGAAGGTATAAGGTTGACCGGTGCTTAGTAGTTTCAAGGGTGGTGAACTACGGAACAAACAGTGGTCCCCCAAGTTCACGAGTGAGGAAAGCTTCTCGGTTGGAGACTTGCAAAACCCAAATTGGTGAGTACTCATGAAACTTTCGAGTACTAAAGTGTATTAGCATATATTAGGAGTCCACCAAATCTCCTATCGATGAGGATTACCGAAGGAGGTGTCTTATATTTCCCGAGCCAATGAAGAAAATAGACTTTAAAAATTCTTTCCTCTTTTTTTTGGATGTAGCCCAAGTACATATATTTTTTTTTCCCAAGCCCAATTCCTTCTTTCTTTTTTTGTTGGGAAAAGAAAATCTGATTGATGTTTTTTCATTTGTGTATATAACTTGAGTGGTTGAAGCTTTTTCCTTTGGACAAATGGCTTGAAGGGTTGATGTTTTTTCCTTTGGGCACATAGCTTGAGTGGCTGAAACTTTTTCCTTTAGACACATAGCTTCAGTGGCTAAAGATTTTTCTTCTGGGCGCATATCTTGGCTGAAGTTTTTTCCTTTGGCCACGTTGTTTGAGTGGTTGAAGATTTTTCCTTTGGGTGCATAGCTTGAGTGGCTAAAGCTTTTTCCTTTGGATACATACCTTGAGTGGTTGAAACTTTTCTCCTTTGGACACTTAGCTTGAGTGGTTGAAGCTTTTTCCCTTAAGCACATAGCTTCAGTGGTTGAAGCTTTTTTTTGTGGACACTTAGGTTGAAAGGTAAAAGTTTCCATTTACCATTGTTGGCAAGTAAAGTTAAGATATAATACTTGCATGTTGTCATTGTGGCTATATAGGTTATTGAAGTTTGCGACTTCGAAGTTCTTGTAAATGTTGGAGTAGAAAATGCCTGAGGTTTTTAGAAAGCCTATAAATGAGTTTCCTTCAAACCATATCCATGGCAACTGATAGGAGCATATTTATGCTACTTAGTTATGTTGTTTCCTTGCATTTAGTTACTTAACTACTATCTATTTTAGTCTTTTAAGCTATTTTCGTATGTTTTTAGGTCCTAATGGCAAAAGGAGCAAGAAAGTGCATTTTGAGGCTATTTGGAGCAGTTTTGGGCATGGATTGGATAGCTTAACTATGGAGCAATGTGGATGGACGAAATTGAAGTCAAGAGATGCTAGGAAAGGCTAAAAATCTGGAGAAAGAAGTTCAAATGCAAAGAAGATAAGGAAAGAGCAAGAAATAAGGAACCTTATCCAACCTTATCTTATCTTATCATATCCTAATCTTTTCTTACCTTAATTCCAACTTCAAAAAGGACTCATTTTCACATTAAATCACCTAAATATCAAGTTCTAGAAGCCCTATTTTCGTGCATTAAGTTTATGCCACATGTAACCCTTCTAGAAGTTCTAGAATCTGCCACAAGGACCATTCCTTGTCCTCCTTGGAATCTAATTGAAAGTATTCTTGTTCTTTGGTGATTTGGAGTCCTAATTCCTCTCCTTTTCAGCCCAAATTTGTGCCTCCCCTTCACCCTATAAATACTTGATGCCACAACACTCAAAAACCACCACCCTCTACCACAAATTCACACCACACCATCCACCACACCTCAAGAGCCTAAATTCACACAAATCCCTATTGTTGGCAACAAGGAAGGAAAGAGGAGCCACCTGGAGTGTTTCTAGGTGTATTCTATCTTTGTTTTTAATGTTTAAGATTAATTATCTTTGTTTTGCGAACATGAGGAGCTAAACTTGTTTTAGCTAGAGGAGACTTTGAAACCATGATTATAGTTGCAATATGAATTGATTACTTTCAGTTGTGATTTCATAAATCGTGAATATAATTTACTTAACTGCTTGATTAAGAACTTATTCTTGTGTGTTGATTAAGAGGGCCCGCTTAGTTTGCATGCATGAATTTGATGCTAAAATATAAGGGAGTTTCACCTAATCGTTATGAACTTATATTTATAAGTAGTGGAGGTTGCTAGTCACAATCGTGTTAAATAAATTCCTGGCAGGAGTATCATGTTGTTCATAGTTACGAATGCCTTGTCAATGCTTATGATTTTCACAAAGCTTAATGATCTTTGATTGTATCTCTATTATGATGTTCATGTAGAGAACTATTGAAGAATAATTTGGTTGCCGATGCGTATTCCATCCAATTCAATGACTTAAGGAAAATCTGAGGGTTAATTAGTGCTGTTCACGGTTAATCTGGGGTGTTGAGGTTCATGGTTTATTGGAAAAGCAACTGGAAATTAATTTGTATGTAAGTGTGTCATGTGTGGAGAATGACCCTCTAGCTAGCTTATCACCCATATTTTTCCCCAATTTCGTCCAAGTTGTTTAAGTCCTTAAATCTGTTTGTTTTTACTTTAATTTCGTCCAAATCAATCCCCCCTTTAAATAAGTGTGTTAAATTAGTTAGAAACGTGTTCAAATCTGTCCAATTTAGTGTTTTAAGTCTTAATAGTCTAAAATTCGTCCAAATAACTTCTTAGAGTCTGTTTCGAGTCAATTTAACTTAGTTTGTGTGTTTTGAGTCTTTTTAGTTTGTTTTGAGTCATATAAGTCTAGTTAAGTGTTTTTAAGTGTAGTTTTGTGTTTTTAAGTCAGTTTAGAGTAGATTAGCATCCCTTCTAATCCCCGGCCTAAAACGATCTCTACTTTCATATACTACAATCATAGGGTTTTAATTTGAGTGTTAAGTTAATTTTCACATCAGCAACCCAACTAATTTATTGAAGCTACAATGTTTGACCTCCTTGTACAGTTGAAGGAGATGTTAATAATGCTTCATACTGCATGGTGCAAATTAAGCCACCGAAGAGTTGAAGCCTATGTGTTGCTTGAAGCTTTCTGGAAGCTATACAAATTGATTGACCTCCTAAATGTGTTATCCCCCCTACGTAGTGCCTTTATATATAATAATAAGGTTGGATAGAAATCATTCTCCTCCAAGGAATTAAAGTCCTAATAGGGAAGAATAACTAGAATAAAATCTAATTTAAGATTTACACAATCACACTTAAATAAGAAGTTTATAACACTCCACCTCGAGTGTGTAAATACTCAAGTAGATTCGGCATCATGTGTTGTTGAGGAAGTTGACTCGTCGTCACTGATTCTAGGAACACGGTAGGCTCAATAAGGTAGGAACTTGCATAAGGAAATAAGTCTCACAAAAAATCCTAAGCCTATGGTAAAGTCTCACAAAAAATCCTAAGCCTATGGTAAAAATCCGAGTAAGGACCAAATAGTTAAAGAAAAATTTGTGAGTAATGCAAAGTCAAATGAAATGTCTACAGGGCGTCATTAGGGATATAACCAACCCAAGATGAGAGCCTCGTCAAAACCTCGTCAGGTAGCAAAACCCCAGTGGGAAAAATGCTTCTAATCGTAGGGAAAAATAGTACATTAAGATCAAGCAAGTATACTTCAGGATACTCCCTTGAGTTTGACCTAATTCCAATGAGAACTAACAATGTTACAACTCAGAAAGTTTACGCATACCAATCCTTGAACAAGCTTCTGAAACGTCGCCTTCGGTAGTGATTTGGTGAAGAGGTCAGCCAGATGGTCTTGTGAACGAATTTGCGTGACTTCAACCTTCTGATGCTCTTGTTGTTGATGTGAGAAGAAAGACTTCGATGCAATGTGCTTGGTGTTGTCTCCTTTGTTGTAACCCTTCTTGAGCATTCGATGCATGCTGCGTTGTCTTCATAGATCATTGTCGGGAAGTCAACGACGAGGAAAAGATCGCAGGAGCTTCAAATATCACCCACAGCCGCTACCATCCAGAAATATTCTTGACTTGTTCAATGCATGCTGCGTTGTCTTTATAGATCGTGTACGGCGAGAATTTCAGCATTGTTGGGCGAAGTGGCAACTAAGGTCTGTTTAGTTGACCTCTAAGAGATTGCGGTGCCTCTAATGGTAAAGATATAACAATTCCAATCGAAGTTTCATCTCCAAATAGATATCCACCATGGCTGACTAGACTTCTTCTGCAATTGAACAGATTGTGCAACCTAATATCCCAAATTTATGCTTTTGGCAAAGACCCATGAATTTGAAATTGCTTTGTGTAGGTGATTCACCATATTTCTGTCCAATTTAACTTCACTAAGGTCTCTCTTATTCTGGTTTCGTATGGAGGCTAACCCTCAAAAATGCGAGAGGAAATATGCAGCTTTCTTTTGTTTTTTTTTTTTGTTTTTTTCTTTTACTTGTCTGTTCAGTATTGCATAGACTTGTGATCTATGAAATAAACACGTGCTGAAGGCTTCTCCAATTCCAACAAGTGACATGCACTGCACATAAATCAAAAGAACATGAATGTAAGCCACAAGTATATTATATAGCCAAATAGGTAGACACTTAAATCATAACAGACCATTAGGTTTATTTAAAAATAAGGAATTATAACATCATATTTTCCTCCACCTCATTAATATAACTATAAAAGCACAACACTATGTAATTCCTTTCGTCTAAGTCCAAAATATCACAAGAAAATGTAGCTTTCGCGAGAAAATAAATAGTAAAATATGCGTTCATCATTATGCTATTTCTTAATGCTTCCATCCCTCCTTGGTCGTGATTTCGATCTTCCTCTTCATCATCATCAATATCGCTCTCTTCACTATAGTCTTCGGGGTCATCAAAATGCCTATCACGTTCAGAATGCCTCCTTTTGTAGTTATGAAGAGCCATTGTAGCAATGACAATATTCACTTGCTTATTGAACACACAATCAAGCATATCCCTCAAAATTGCCCACATTTTTTTCATACTCTAAACGTACGCTCAATTACGCTTCTAAGAGAAAAATGTCTATGGTTGAATACCTCTTTATGCCTCGTTGGTTGGCCACTCCTATAAAAATATGACAGGTGATGTCTTTTACCTTTATGCCCCATGGGGTGGTATTAAATTCCAAATCCATAAGTTTGATTATATCTATTGCCATTTAACATAAAATATCCAACATAACACCAAAATATCTACTAACGATCTCCGAAGAGTGTTGAAATTGCTCTTAGCTATTCTTTTTTTTTTTTTCTTCTATACTATGTCCTAACATATGCAAGAACATTCCTAATATCACTTTCTCCTTGAACCTTTCAAACTATAGTTAGCTTGCAATACTTTCATTAACCAAATGTTACCTGTTTGAAAAAATTCATACATGGAGTTTTATGCACATATTTTAGATAATATGCTTCAATAGCTCGAGTACAAGCGCATGCTAATATGTCAAACTCTTCCTCATCATTATCTAGAATGTTCATATTCAAGCGCACCTGCAAGTTAAGAAATAATCCTTAACAAAATTCAAGCACCTTGCCAATTAACAGTTGTACCAATATTGAAAACAAAGTATCTAAAAATTAACTCATAATTCAAATTAACATTCAAGGAAGGTGTCAAACAAATTCTAAGACATAATCCTAAAATCTGACTAAGAGTGTACAAATCCAAAATGTTTTGTAAAACTACAACTCCCTCATTGGTTGATGAACTCAAAATTCAGCGAAGTGAGTTGCACACTAGGATCTTTCAGGATAGAGAACATCTCTCCCTTCTCTTGATTAAAAAACAAATTAGTTGCAAACAGCCACAAGGGGCTAGTACGCTCACAACCGGTAACGGTTCAACAACCTGCACAACTTCAGGAATACTAGTGCCTATCACCAATTGCCTCATAGTGCTCTTACCCTCTACTGCACCAATAAGGCGGTCAATTTGACCATACAATTTTGCAGCACCGCCAACCTTTTTCCTTTTCCTATCAAACTTACTTGTTCTCAATTCACCTTGGTCACCTTTTTTCTTTTTCCTTTCTTAGCACCTTTTCTCATAGATTGGGTAGTGCACTCTCCTCATCATCTGATCCAATAGATTCATTTTGTATATTAACATTTCCTGTTGAGTCATCCCTACTATTTGGTAGTAGTGCACCAAATGAAGGTGCCCAAGCATTTGCACCAATAGCCACGTTGTTTGAGAGCATCCTATCCAACTTTTCCTCGAACTCAGGAGTGATGCCTTTCTGCAATCTTCCATATTCAGGATTTATCTACAAATAAAAAAGAATGTTGTTATTATGTACTTTATGATTACTATAACTAGAATAACATCGTAACTGATACAAAGTGAACATACCTGAATCTTATTATTCCACTATTCATCAAAGGCATCCACTGTTCCCTTGCTTGGATTCCACTCTAGGCCAGTTTCTTTCCCAATTAGTTTTTTGCACAACTACCAATCCTTTTTTAGTCTATCTCACTTATTTTTTAATTGCGCTTTACTATAAGAATTTCCTGTTTCTTTCCTAAAGTTTTCTATGAAATTTGCCGATCTTTCTTTGTTAAAGTGAGGGCCAAGACGACGTCCAACCTCAACATCCTTGATGCACAACTCACTGAATACGGATATATTATGATCATTGCATGTACCATGTGCAGCTCTTGCTGAAGTTCCCACCTTTTTTGCCATCCTTATATATATAATATTAAAGGAAAGTTAATGAAAAGGGCTTGAAAACTTTGAATTTTAATGATAGAGCAAAACAAGACACAAAGTTCTATGGAGACCACAACAACATCAGAAGCTATATGGTGTATATAGATCTGGAATGGAGACCACAACAAGTCACGCAATAAAGCAAAAAAAACCACAACATCATCAAGACTTACATAGCATAATTGTAATTATGAGCTAGAGATAAGGCTCTGAAATGTTCATTGCCTGCTCAAAATCATATGCTTACTATGATTATGCAATCTTCCATTTCATGTGACTCATACTATTCTTTTATCTTTTGGTCCAAATAAAAAAAACTACTTTTGAAAAGCTCACTATCCACATGCCGGTGTAAATTTATGTTGCAGACATGTTTTGGCTGATACCACGTGAAAGAGAGTATCCATGTCTGTGTAAATTTAATTTAACAGCAATCAAATCTTCCAGTATCATCCAAAAACTAATAACCGAACTAAATTACAACTAATCAACTAATTATACGGGAAAAAACGATTCTAACCAAATTAACCAAAGAAATTAATCCACCTCAAGTCCCAGAAATTAATTAAAAATAGAATTTAACCAAATTAATCAGCAAATTTCAATCATTTTGGAACAAAAATCAATTGCAGAAAAATGAAGAAAATGACTTATAGTTGAATCAGTTCAATATTTCAATATTCCAACAATAAATTGTCAAAATAAGCAAATTAGAAATTGAAACGAAAGAAAACTCAACTGTTGTTGGTGAAGAGTGCTTGAACCAGAGGAGATGAAGAGGATAGATGGGTCTGAGCCCAAACCAGATGAAAGGGAGAGGAGAGAGCGTGAGAGAAATAGGGAAAGGTGGAAATTGAACGAAGCATAGGAGAAAAGGATAGTATTGTCAGCATAAATGTTTCATTAATTGACAATTTTTCCGCGCTTCTATGAAAAAAAGAGCTCCTTTAGAGTCTAACCTGCTTTTGCTTTCTATTGTTTTTGATCCACAATTGAAGAAAAAAAAAAGAAACTCTTTTTTCTAACCAAACACAATTTATGGTTCCAACTTTTTTTAAAAAAAAATTAAGCAATCCCAAGCCAGCTTTATATTTAGAGGAGGACATATAAATTTAGAATTTTGGCATGGAAAAAAAAACTTAGAATTTGGTACCTTCAATTCCTAAATTTAGTTTCATGTAAATAGATGTTATTTTCATATTTCTATAAATGAGAGTTTAAAAATAACAAATTCTGTATTCAATTCTATTGTTCTTTTAGGTTAATCAAACAAGCAAATTCACAATTTCTAGATAATAAAATTTTGTCATTTCAATTTCCATCATTTTAAAATTCTTTAGTAATATAAATTATTTTCATCCAAATAGATTGTTAGGTTTTATTCTTATGCTATGTGTGTACATCATTTTGTAGTATAACATAAAGAAGATGAATTAATAATCAATAAGAGTATTGTCTCCATTTTTCTAATAACATATGAACACAACTACAAGTTATTTTAACTTAAGATAGTACAATTCAAAAAGAAAATGGTGCAACCTCCACTTCAAATTTCTAGAGTGCACAACGCCAAAATATCATGTGCATTCTCCGCACCTCCAATTTTCCATTTGCGAAAAATCTACAAAAAGAAAGTCTTGCTCAATTTTCATATTGTTTGCCTCATTCGTCTTGTGAAAAGACATTAAAATTTGTTATTGATTCCTGCAAACAGAAAGTTAAGCGGGTAAATATATAATATAATTAGCATTTATGACATATATGACAAGTACACATCTATATTTGTTTTTATGTATCTGTAGTTGTCATATATGACATGTCATCTCGACCAAACTTTTTTCCTTTATTATCAGACTTATTTCTTCTCAATTCACCCTAGTCAGCTACTCTCTTTTTTGCCTTCTTATCATCTTTTCTTATGTATGGAATAGTCTCATTCTTCTCCTCATCATTTGGTCCAACAGTTTTAGATTGTAAACAAACATCTTCCGTCGATTCCTCCATAATATCTGGTGGTAGTACACTAGACAAAGGTAAGATCCACTTGTCATATAACTATTGTATTGGAAGATATATCTTTCGATGAAGTGGAAGAAATAGATAAAAGGAAATCTGTAAATTAGAGCTGAGGATGCTTAAAGGAAGAATATGTTATATTATAAAAAAAAAATACAAATATGCTATATTATGTTATGCTTAAAAAAAAAACAAACGAATGACTTAAAAAAAAAAAAATACAAACAGATGACATGTTTCACGATATATATAGTAGTGGGGGATTATGGGACAAAAAATAAATCCATTTGGCATGGAGCTAGAACCTTGTTTCGAGATGTTTTTGCTAGTATTGATCCAGATTTAGATGCTCAACTAGAATTTGGAGCATTCCAAAAACTTGGAGATCCAACTACAAGAAGACAAGTAGTCTGATACAATATGCATTGTTACTTGTTACTTTTCATTTTTATTTTCTTTTTGTGATTTTTAGATGGGGTACCAAATAAATCTTGATTTGAATCACTGCCTTTTCTTTGACTCTTGTTCTTTATTTATCCGGGAGACGATCCCAAATAAACAGGTATGGAAGCTATAATTGTAAACCACGATCGAATCTATGGAAGCATTGGTTTATACATTCCTTTTAGTCTCAACTCTAGGAATAATATTTTTCGCTATCTTTTTTCGAGAACTGCCTAATGTTACAACTAAAAAGGTGAAATGATTTGTTATCATCTCAATTGAAGTACGAATCCTCCCAATATTGGGAGGATCCATACTTTAACTAGTCCCTTTGTTCCTCGAATGGATCTCTTAGCTGTTGAGAGGGTTGCCCAAAAGCAGTATATAAGGTGTACAATTTTTTGGTTGATAAAGGGATCAATTGGTATAATTCTTTTGTTGGTAGATTGGAGGATTACGAACATGAATATTGCTTCCCTATTGGCTGTTTTTGCATTAATTGCTACTTCTTTAATCTTACTGATGATTAGTGTACATGTTGCATTTGCTTCTCCTGAGGGTTGGTCGGATAACAAAAATGTTCTATTTTCCGGCACATCATTATGGTTTGGATTAGTCTTTCTGGTGGGTATCCTTATTTCTCTCATATCCTGAACCTATTTGTTCTATATCCAAAAATGAAATGACCCTCCCTCCCAATTCCATCAGGTTGTGAGACACACTAAAATTCAATACAAGTCCCAAAAAATCAAATAAAGAAAAAAATTAGAAAAATTAGAGAGGGGTCAAACTTTTGTGTTTTTGAATTGTAAAATTATATATAAATGAAAAATATTAAATCAAAATAAATAGATGTAAGCTAATAAAAACCAGTCTCTTGAAACACTAATCAATTTCTTGTACTACCAAGAAGAAGCCACCCCAATGGTATCCTGATGCGAGTTTTATACGCACACAAATTAAACCCTCTTTTTGTCAATTGTAGTAAGTACGTAAGTAGGGATCGTTCTGGACCGGGGATTAGGAGGGATTGTTAATCTCTTGGAAACTGACTCAAAAACGTAAAAACAATATAAAACACTAAACTAGACTCAAAGAATGTGAAACTAAACGTTAAAACACTAAGACAAACCAAAAGACTCAAAATGCTTTAAAAACACAAACTAAATTGATTTCTAACTAAATTGAACATTAAAGCAAAAGGGGGATTGAGGTTTGACGAAAATTGAAATAACGAAACAAGTTAATAAACTAGACATAATGTAAATATGAAATTGATGAAATGGAATGAATGGATGCTAGCCAAGGGGTTCATCTCCACACATGTTACACTTGCATAATAAAACGATTTCCAATTGCTTTTCAATAAACCATGAATTCTCAACGCCCCGGGTTAATTAGGTCCGCTTAAATTAACCGTCAAGTTTTCCTTAAGTTAATGAATTGGATGATTGCATACGACAACCCAAAGTATTCCCCACAAGTTCCCTACATGAATTGCATAATAGAGATACAAGCAAGAATCATTAAGCATCATGAAAACTATAAGTGTTGACGAGGCATTCGTTACTATGATTGCATGAAACTTATGCCAAGAATTTGTTTAACGCGATTGTTTATAAGCAACCTCCACTACTTGTGAATATAAGTTCATAACTATTACGTGAAACTCACTTATATTCTAGCGTCAAATTCATGCATGAAAATTAAGCGTTCATTCTTAATAAACATACATAAATAGGATATCAATCAAATAGTTAAACAAATTGAATTCACAACTTATGAAACGTAATTAAAAGTAATCAAATCATATTGCAAGCATAAACATATATTTCGAATCACCCCCTAGCTAAGGGGGGTTTAGTTCCTCATACGTACAAAACAAAGAGAATTGAAATTAAACATTGAAATCAAAGAAACGCCTAAACATTCCAACAACTCAAACTTGAATTGTATGAACGTTTAGGCCTTCTTCTCTTCCTCTTCGTTGTAGCATAAGGTCTAGGGATAGTTGGTTGGGGGGATGGAAGTGTGGAATTATGGAAGTGGATTAGGAGTGGTGGAAATGGAAGAATGGTTTTTGGATTCTAA